AGTTAACATCTGAACCACTTTTAAGTGTAGAGTTCAGTAGTGTTATGTGTATTTGCGTTGTTGTGCAACCAGTCTCAAGAAGTCTTTTCTTCTTGGAAAACTGAAATTCTACACCCATTAAACAACAACTTCCTGTCTCTCTCACCCCCGCTCCAGCCCCTGCAACCACCATTCTACTTTTAGCTCTATGAATTTGATGACTCTAGAGACCTCTTCTAAGTGGAATCAGCCTGATTTGTCCTTTTGTGGTTGGCCTATTTCACTTAGCATCATGTCCTCAAGGTTATTCATGTTGTAACATGTGTTACAATTTCCTTCCTTTTTAAAGCTGAAGAATATTTTGTTTATCCATTCATCCATGAACAGTTACTTGGGTTGCTTCCACTCTTTGGCTATTGTAACTAATGCTACGAACATGGATGTACAAATCTCTCTTCAGGACTTTGCTTTCAACTCCTTTGGGTATATATACAGAAATGTAATCACTGGAGCATCTGGTAATCCTATCACACACCACCTACTGTAGCTGCTGCGCCATTTTACATTCCCACTAGCAGTGCACGAGCATTCCAGCTTCTCTACATCTTCACCAACACCTGTTATTTTCTGGGGGTTTTGGGAGTAGCCACCCTAATGGGCATGAGGTGATCTCTTATTGTGGTTTTGGTTTGCATTTTCCCAAAGATGAATGAAAGATGTTGAGCATCTGTTCATGTTCTTGTTGACCATCTGTTCATGTTCTTGTTGACCATTTATATATCTTCTTTGGAGAAATGCCTATTCACATCCCTTGCCCATTTTTGAATCAGGTTGTTTGGTTTCTTGTTATTGAGTTGTGGGAGTTATTTATATATCAGATATATAATTTGCTAATATTTTCTCCCATTCTGTATGTTACCTTTCGTTCTGTTGATTGTGTCCTTTGATGCACAGGTTTTTCTTAAGATTTTTTTTTTTTTAGTAATCTCCACACCCACCATGGAGCTCGAACTCACAACCCCAACATCAAGAGTTGCATGCTCCACTGACTGAGCCAGACAGGCACCCCGATGCACAGAAACTTTTTATTTTGATATAGTCTAATTTATCTGTTTTTGCTTTTGCTCCCTGTGGAGTTTTTTTTGAAGGTTTTATTTATTTATTTGACAGAGAGAGACAGCTAGAGAGGGAACACAAACAGGGGGAGTGGGAGAGAGAAGCAGGCTCCCCTGTTGAGCAGAAAGCCCGATGCAAGGCTCCATCCCAGGACCCTGGGATCATGACCTGTGCCGAAGGCAGACGCTTAACGACTGAGCCACCCAGGCGCCCCATGTTCCCTGTGTTTTAATGTCATGTCCAAGAAACCACTGCCAAATCCAATGTCATGAAGCTTTTCTCTTATTTTCTTTAAGAATTTTATAGTTTTAGTTCTTTCATTTAAGTCTTTAATTCATTTTGACCAATTTTTGTATACGGTGCAAAGTAAGGGTCCAGTTTCATCCTTTTGCATGTGGATATGTGGTTTTCCCAATACCATTTGTTGGAAAGACTGTTTTTTCCCCAGTTGAATGGTCTTGACACCCTTGTCAAAAATCGTTGGACCATCTGTGTAAGAGTTTATTTCTGGGCCCTCTCTTCTGTTCCATTGGTCTGTATGTCTGTCTTTATGCCAGTACCACACTGTTTCTATCACTGTGACTTTGTAATAAGTTTTTCAATCAGGAAGTGTGAGACCTCTAACTTGGCTCTTTTTCAAGATTGTTTTGCCTATTGAGGAAACCTTGAAATTCCATGTGAATTTTAGGATGGGTATTTCTATTTCTGTAAAAAAAAAAAAAAAGCCAATGCCATTGGGACTTTGATAGGGGTTGCTTTAAATCTAGATCACTGTGGGTGGTACTGACATCTTAACCATATTGAGTCTTCCACAGACTGTTTAACATTTTAGCTTCTTCTAGTCTTTTAGCCAAGCTGTGGATAAGGTTCCTGGGGATACACCATGAATAACTGAGTAACCGGGAAATGTTTTCTACACTTCAGAAACAGGGCCTTGGCAAGTCTAGAGGATGGAGAGAGGATAGAGAGGAGTTGTTGTGGGGTCAGGCCCTTGACAAGGGCTGCCTGCTCGCAGGGATTGGCGGTTGTGGAAGCACACCATTCAAATAGGTGGGAGATACCCTGTAATGGCCACAGGGTCCACGGTGTTTCCTAAGCTTCAGGCTTCACGGTGACAGCACACTTCTAGGTGATTTCACTGAAACTTACTTTGCCTGTGAACTTAAGGTCCGAAGAGCCCTGGGAGGGTCTCCAAGAGAGTCAGGACAGGTCATGCAATACTAGCTTGGAAGTGCTGGGGGAAAATGTCTTTGAAAAGTCTACTTTTCTAAATTGTTCTTTTGAAGGCCCCAAATGGTCCAGTGTGGTAAGGAAGATGTATGGTAAAGATGAGCATCTCTTTTTTTTTTTTTTTTGTCAATTACTAAGTGCAAACGACAATTATAAAAGTTATAATCCATATTCTCCCTTGGGGATTTTTATAACTGGAGGCAAATCCCTGATTTTAGGCCCGTGGGGTTCCAAACTGTTTTGAGCAGTGGCATTCACGTAGAGCTTCTTTAAAGCATGTCAGTCAAGTGGTCCGGAGTTCAAAAAGCTGAATCTTGCCTCTGTCCTATATTAGTGCGACTCTGGGCAAGTCACTCAACTTCAGCCTCCTCCTCTGGACAATGGAGGTAATAACACATCTGCCAAACCCTAATTCAAGGATTTTGTGAACATTGAATGACATAACATACATAAATGTGTTTTCTAAACTGTAAAAGGCTATAAAATGTTATCTCATTTAGGGTCAGTTTTGTTTTTTTTTTTTTTTTTTTGAGAGAGAGAGAGAGAGCGGTCACATGCAGGGGGAGGGGCAAAGGGAAAGGAAAAGAGAAAATCATAAGTAGACTCCACGCTCAGCACAGAGCATTACACGAGGCTTGATCCCACAACCCTGAGATCATGACCTGAGCCGAAATCAAGAGTCGGACACTTAACCAACTGAGCCACCCAGGTGCCCCAGAGTCACTCATTTTTTTTAATCACACCTCACACAAATCTGTAAATCCCGATTTGGTCAAACCTTTCTCCTTTGCTTATAACCCAGGTAGCATGAAGTAAAGGTTTTACATGGCTAGTGGTCTGTTCCTGGCCTTTGGCATATATGAATTCAAAAACCCATATGATTTCCCCCAAAGTAAAGCAGAACTCTCCCTCCCACTGGGGGCCCCATTCAGACAGGCATTAGAATGTGGCAGAGGGGCGCCTAGGTAGCTCAGTCGGTTAAGTCTGCCTTGGGCTCGGGTCATGATCTCAGGATCATGGGATCAAGCCCCAGCTCCCGGTTCAGTGCGGAGCCTGCTTCTCCCTATCCCTGTGCCCCTCCCCTGCTTGTGCTCTCTATCTGTCTCTCGATCCCTCTCTCAAATAAATAAATAAAATCTTAAAAAAAAAAAAAAAAAAAGGAATGTGGCAGAGAAGAAAGCTTACTGGAACTCAGGAGTGAGAAAGAGTCATTAGCGTGGTGACCAGGCAGTTTCAACCAATGTTAAAACTCATGATGCCATTTCAAAAAATACACAAGTGCCCAGTTTCATTAATGACCTGATGACCTACAGTGAGAGGTCTACAGAAACAGTCTTTTACACACTGCTGGGAGGAGTTTGCAAAGGTCAAGCATGGTATTGATTTGTCCCTGGGTACAGTCACCTTGGAAGATTCTAATGTCCCTTACTTAGGCTGTATGCAAGGGAACACATCCAACCTTCCAAAGCAACTACTTGCTTTAAACTTGACCAGAAGAACAAAGATGCTAAAAATACACAGAATGAGCCGCTCTTGATTCATTTATGCCCCTGCAGGGACCCCATTGTTTGTAGAGCCCCCTCCAAATTACAGGCAAGGAATTAATTCGAAATTTGGCAAAGACAAACACAGACATCTGATTTTCTCCAGAGCTTTAGAGCAATCAGCCAGGTTGGGAGCAGCGTGAGCGTTTCTCATGCACCAATCAGGCCCACAACTGTTTGAAGCCCATTCGGGCCTGGGAATGGTTTTAACCAGCCTTTCTGTGTCGCAGAGACTGATGTGCCTGCTGCGTGGGACCATCTGTTGCCGAAAAACCCCAGTTCAGTTCGTTAGGCTGACGTTCTTACATACCTATAGTTGAGTCCTCTGAGACGCAGCATCTGTAAGGATTTGCTTGACTGCTGTACATGACCTCACCAAAGACCAAACCCAAACTAGTGTCCACCGCTTAAGGGTGTGTCTATGTGCGATTTCTCTACGACTGTCCTATCTTCTATTCCCAACGCTGGTTTTGGCCCCACTGAATTCATGATCTGTGCCTTCAGTATCCAACATGGTATAAGGGGGGGGGGGGGGGTCAGTGTGTGTGAGTGTGTGTGTGTGTGTGCACGTGCCCGCACAGGTGTGTCGACGTGTGCGTGACGGGGGCAGAAGGAATATGAAGAAGGAGTTGGGGTCTCTGACCATCAACTCCATCGTCTACTCCAGTTGAGAACTGCTGGGCACAGTGTCCAGGTCCTAACAGGCCTGTATTTGGAGCTCTGCTGCACAACTCACTGGCAAGTCACTTAACTTTATCTCAATTTCCTCTTCTGTAAAACATAAATTGAAAATGGCTACAGCCACGCCTCTTGGGAAGATTGGATGGGGTCCTTGAAGAGTACCTGACACATTCATAAGCCTACATATGGTGTTCAATCAATTGTTAGTCTTTTCCAGAATGACGTATTTTTGACTGCAGAAATAAAAACTGTATACCTCTGAGACAATACAGAAAAGTATAAAACAAAGACTAATCACCCAGAGGTAACTCCTATTAACCTTGTCATGTCTGTTCTTCCAGTCTGAGTTCTACCCATTTGGTTTTTTTTTGTTTTGTTTTGTTTTGTTTTAAGATTTTATTTATTTATTTGAGAGAGAGAGAATGAGAGACAGAGAGCATGAGAGGGAGGAGGGTCAGAGGGAGAAGCAGACCCCCCGCTGAGCAGGGAGCCCGATGTGGGACTCGATCCCGGGACTCCAGGATCATGACCTGAGCCGAAGGCAGTCGCTTAACCAACTGAGCCACCCAGGCGCCCTGAGTTCTACCCATTTGTATACAGATAATATCATACGGAATACATAACTAATAGAGTAATAGCTGTTATTTTCTGAGCACTTGAAATATGCCAGGAATTGAACTAGATGCTTTACATATGTCATTTTATTAATCTTTAAAATCCTATTCAGCAGATACTATTGTTTCCACTCTGTAGAGTTATTATCGTCTCCAAGAGGGCTATGTGCTTAGCCTGGCTCTCCAGTGTGAAATTGAAGTGCTTTCCTACATTAACCCAAGCTTGTGCTCAACAACAGCCAAACTAAACAGATATTAACAGAAATAAAATGCATGTGCTTGCTCTTGGCTTTTCCCTCCCAGGAGCCTCTTAGCTGAAATTGTGCCCTTCGCCTGAATATGCAGATCATTTTCCTGGGTGTGTGCAGGATGACATTACTACCCCTCTGCCTGATGATGACTCTTAACTACCTCATAACACTTCCATCTACAGGATAAGTGATTCTCATTTTCAGAATGAGTTCTTCCCCCGAAAAAATAGAAGGGGGGGAGGGGTTTTGAATCTGGCCAAAGGACTTTCTAGTTGGTGTGTTCTAGTTGCTTGGAATTGCGAGGAGCCTTGGGGACCACCTTGGGATGCCCCACTTGCAAATTCCTGCCCTCCTCATCTGACTTCCAGTTCGTTATAGAACTTTGAGCTGTGTAATGATAGAATGGTAGCAGCGGGATGGTATTTTTGTTATTAGGGTTGTGTGTTCAGGAATGCTGGAATGACCCAGATACCCCTCCTCTAGGGAGGTTCCTTAAGGGGAGGTACCTCTGAGGTGAGAGCAAATGGAAAATAGGCATGCCACTTTCTTGTTAACCAAGGGCCCTTACCTCCCAGCGCGGTGAAGCCAGGAAATACGCTGGAGCATGTAACTCAGGCGAAAAGCATGGGTGGGGCCTCTGACTCTTTCTAAACCCAAATCTGACCAACGGGGGCTTTTACAATGAAAAGGGATGAATATATTGCCAGGCTCACATTTACGTAGTGCTTAAAATGGGCCAGGCACTTGACGTCTATTAACTCATTCATCCTGGCAATGTGTCCTGTTGAGGTAGAAACTATTATTATCCTCATTTTAAAATGAGGAAAATGAGGCACTCGGAGAGAACAAGACCGCTATTTCTCCCAACAAAAGAGAGTTTTGGGGGGCACGCCCCTGCCCACTGGTAAATAGGGCCCAGCCAGTGTCCTGACTTAATCAGAACAAAACTAAAGTGTGGGTCAGGGGAGAGCAGGGTAAACGCCCCCTCCCGTCCCACCTGCTGGGATCGGGCAAGTCAGTAGCCCACGGCGGCTGAAGCGGACCTTCTCCTCCTGGTGGCTGCTCTCAGCCGGGATGAGCGCTCATCCCAGCTCGATCCCGAGACGCAGCGAGAGCCCGCGTCCGCAAAACAGAAGGGTCTCGCACGCCACCCGCTTGCTTCCCCGCTGTCTCGCCCTCGTCTCCTGGCCCCGTTTGGCCCCCCGGCGTCTGGCCTGAGCCCCGTCCCGAAGGAGACGGCCACGAGGGGAAGTCCCCAGGCTTTGGGGCTACACACAGCTGACTCGGGGCCGTCAGTAACAGCCCTCAGTGGCTTCGGGCAAGTTAACCTCCCTGAGCCTCCATTTCCTCTTACGCAGAAGAGAGATGATACTTCCGGCAGGAAAAGGGCCAAACGGGCCGAAGGGAGGGCTGTAGGCAAAGCCGTAGCTATCGAAACGTTGTTTGCTTGCGGGACGCCAACCGCCCCTACGGGACCCTGTGCTCTAACACGCAAAGCCTGTGAAGAACCAACTCCGCCGCGTCAGAATTGCGGGGACCCCAGCAGGGTGAGGCTGGGGGCAGGGGCGTGTCCCCAGGTCTCTGTGAGTCATTCGCACACGGGCAGAGCGCTCTTCCGGTCACGTGGTGCTCACGGGGAGCCAGTCTCGAGGAAAAGAGGCCGAGCTGGGACGCAGGGAACTCGTCCGGAGGACTTTCTGAAGAGAGATGTAGATCTCAGTGCTTTGGGAATGGTTAAAGAGTATTTCATTCAAACATTTCAGAAACCATTAGTGGTACAGGCCGCTTCCACATGGAAAGACGGCTGCACAGCGTGTTGCGTAGGAAGGGAGCGTGGGAGGAGGGTGCGGTCAAACCCCATCGTCTTGGAAACGGCTTGGTAGAGCAGCTTTCCAAACTGTTACCCTGCGAAGCACTGGCCTGGAGATTTTCCTAAAGTGAGGGACTGATCCAGCGGGGTCAGGGATGGTGCCTGCGACTGCCTTTCTCACCCGCCCCCAAATGATGCCTGTGCCCCTGGTCTGTGGGCCGCGCTTGGGGAATCCGCGCGGAAGCCAAAACCGCCCCTCGGTTCTGCATTCATTCTGACGCCAGCTGCAGCTCAGCTACCCATGATCTCTGTGTGCCCCTGAATGAGTCCCGGAATTATCTTTCCCGTCTTCAGGAGCGGCCCCCAAACTCCCACAGTTAGAAAAATCACCTTGTCTTCTCCTGCAGAGCCCACCGGAAACGGCTCCGGGGAGCCCAACTCTAACCGAACCCCAGGCCGCCTCCCAAGCTCGCCCTCTGCTGGTAGACACGAGTCATTTCCTTCTACACCCAGCCTCTCCTGCTGCTCAAACGCTCCTTTTGTTTTCCAGTTGATACAGGCAGAAAAGGTGCATGACCTAGTCCAGAGGTTTCGCTCTTGTAGATTCTGGAGCGTTTTCTCACCCTGTTCCTTCAAGTACATCCTGTAGAGGGGGTAGATAAACGTTTGATCAACCCTTACTAGCAACTTACTGTTCCGTGGTGCCTAAAAGTCCTCCTCCCCCCCGATTTTGTTCCCATCCCTCCCAGGCACTTTCCAGAGTGGGGCGGCAAGCCTTCATTTACTCACAGCCTGACCACTGCAAGATGACGGACGAGAGGGAGCAAGTTTCTTGGTGGTTGTGGTAGGGGAGGCGACACAGACACAGAGACATTAGGAGCCAAAGAACGTTTCAGAGAAAGATTGGGAGATTCCTGCTGCTGATCGTATCATCATCATTTATTCACTGAAACATTTCTTAGTCACCTACCTACTATCTGCAAGGCTTGGGACCAGGAGTCAAGCATTCATAACCCTACACAAAGAGATTGTAGCCTAATAGGAGAAATAAGCCTAATAGCTAACACTTACTAAGTACCATATGCCAAACATCATACTTACATTATTTTATTTAATTTTACTTACCCCTTACAGCAATCTGTGATCATCCTTATTGTACAAATGAGAAAATGAGGGGCACTGACTGGCTCAGTCGGTAGAGCATGTGACTCAATTTCAGGGTCGTGAGTTCAAGCCCCACATTGGGCGTGAAGCCTACTTTAAAAAAGAAAAGAAAGGAAATTGGGGTGCAGAGAAGTTGAGTGATACTTTCAGTTAATGATGGAGTCAGATAGCTTAAAATTACAATTTGTTATTTTCTCTAATGGGGCTCTGGGGTTTGATGGGCTTGGCTGGCTCGTTCTCACTTGAGGTCCTTTGTACAGTTGACTTTGTACAGTCAGATAGTGGCTAAGGCTAGGGTACATATCTGGCGCCAGGGCTGGGATGTCTAAAACAGTCAAGAGCTAGCCAGGCATCTCTGTTTGCACGGCCTCTCTGAGTGGCGAGCCTGGGCTTCCTCACAGCTTAGCGGTCAGAATAGTTGGACATCTTAGATGATAGTTGATCAGGCCCAAACTGCAAAATTTCTCATGATCTAAAAGCATACGGCCCATGGGGCGCCTGGGTGGCTCAGATGGTTAAGCGTCTGCCTTCGGCTCAGGTCATGATCTCAGGGTCCTGGGATCGAGTCCCGCATCTGGTTCCCTGCTCCTTGGGAGCCTGCTTCTCCCTCTGCATTTCTCTCTCGCTCTGTCTCTCATGAATTAAAAAAAAAAATTAAAAATAATAATAATAATAAAATAAAATAAAAGCATACGGCCTCATTTCCATTATATTCCCTTGGTCCAAGTGGTTACGGATCAGCTCAGTTTCGAGGAGGTAGAGTTCTGGGCTCTGTGTCTCCGTGGAGGAAGAGCTTCAAGTACACCAAGGCAAGGAACTGATGAAGACCACCTTAGAGAACGTCACCACACCTTCAGCAGCCTGACTCCAACCTTTGTGCCTTCCACCCTTACGCTCTGCTGACCCCGCATCAAACAGACACAGGCACTCCGTGCTCCGAGTGGTCACGTAGGATAGAACCGGGTACAAAGAAGGAAGTAATTAGCTCTTCTCATCAGGGAAGGCTTCCCAGAGGAAACACCCATATGCATACACACACAGATGTCCCCTCAGTATGGAGGACAGATTGTGACTGCAGTAGGTAGCATACTATATGATCCCTACATTTTGTGAGGTGACAAAAGCTGAGGGCAAGAGACCGCTCTGAGGCAGCACATGGAAAACAGGAGCCATGAAGTCCAGTCTCAACTCGGCCACGGTGTGGCTGGGGGGCCTTGAGAGAACCAGAAGGCCAGGAAAGGAAAGAACTAGAGGTCTTTCCAGAATATCACAGAGTGGAATTTCTGACCATGTTGTGCTCCCCCACCCCCAGGTTGGAGACCCGCACTTGGTGATCTGTATGGACTGCTCAGCAGACACCATGACTAATCGCCTTCTCCAGCGGAGCCAGAACAGCCCTTGCGCGGAAGACGCCGCCGCCATCGCCAGGCGCCTTGAAGCCTACTACCGAGCGTCCATCCCTGCGATTGCCTACTATGAGACAAAGACACAGCTACGTAAGGTGAAACATCTCGCTCCCCTCCTCCAAAATGAGCCAGTTACCTTTTCTTTCTCTTTTTTTGAGAAAAAATTTTGGTCAAGGGTTCTGGGAATTAGAGCTGCATACAGCTGCACAGTTTCACCTTTGTATAAATCAAAATTAAACATCTGTCATCATGCAGACCACAAAAAGTTGGTCACAGGGTTTTCACAGATGCCCTTATAGTTGCTAAAAACAACTCTTTTTTCCAAAATAGAGAGAGGGAGGAAGGGCGGGGGGCAGGAGCGGGGGGAGACATGGACGAAACATAGCTTCTGCCTTCCAGACCTCAGCTGAACAGGATGACCCAAAAGGTCTCTTCTAGGTCTAAGATTCAGTGACTCTGAATTTCTAGACTTTTACACAGGTCATAATTGGCACTTGGATTTCTTACGGTAACTGTTACTGAGAAAAGCAGCAGACGGGGCCGGGAGAGCAGGTAGTTTGGTGCCACAGTGAAGAGACTGTGGGGAAATGGGTCGCGTCAACCTAACAATCACAAGCGATAATCCCTGGTGAATCACCATTTATTTCATGAATTTGGGAAAACTACCCAGTCCCCCTCCATCCACTCATCTAATAAGCATGTATGAAGCCCCTCCTGTGGGCTATCCATTGCCCTAGTGGTTTAGATATGGATTGTAGATACAGTTCTTGCCTCCTAGAGCTTCAGGGTTTAGTAGGGGCGATAGACAAGCCTCTGATTACGGTATGGGGACAACGTGAGCACAGAGCGAGTTCCAGCGGCCCTTTAACCAGTCTGAGGGGAAAGGAAAAGCATCGAGGAAGGCCACCGGAGGACAACTAAGCTAAGCCTCAAAGAGGGAGTGATGGGAGGGGAGCAGGGCACCCCACACCGAAGGAGCCCCAAGTGAAAAAGGTCAGGCGGAACAGGGAACTCGGCTTGGCTAGGACATAAGGTGCCAAGGAAACGAGGAACAAGAGATGGGGATGGAGAGGGAAGCATGGACCAGATCAAGATGAACCTTATGCAGAACCAAGTAACTGTCCTGTGGTGGATGGGAGGGGGGCAGACACAGGAGTTAAGACAGAATGGTCAGTCCATCCGCCTTGCGGAGGATGGATCCGAGAAGCAAGGCTCCCAGGGAGGCTGGGTGCCAAAGCACAGTAGAGAGCGCGAACCCCTACTTTCTGCTGGTCACAGGAAGTTCAGAGGAGGCATCAATTAGTAAATAACCAACGTGTCTCTGAGGCAGCTACATCATCCGTTCCTTGGCAGAAACCACTGATAATGAATTCTCATCTTCTACACCTGTTAATAGTCCATTTTCCAGAATCCTAAGAACTTAGCCCTGAGTGTAGAGGTCTGAAAGGTGTCCTTTGATTTAATGCAGGGATGTCAAATATGGGGCTTGAGAGCCCCCATCCCCCACTTCCCTTCCGTGGCGGACATTGCTGACCACTCGTTCTGGGGCCCTCAGAGTGCTTGTCAACACAGCACTCCCGGCGGCTCCTAGCAATTCATGGGACCTGATCTGCAAGAGGAAACCTACATGCTGTGCTCTGTGTAGCGTTTGGCTGCCACGTAAAACAAATGCTTACATTCAACACAAGCAAAAAAAGAAAGTACATTATGTAAGAGCAGGGTCTTAAGAATTCAGGGTTGCAAAAGCCTTTACAAGATTAGTGATTTCTACCCTTTGTGCAGCCTGGAACACCTAAGAAAATTGTCCAGATAGAAGAGAATTTCTTCCACTTTCGATTTGTAGAGGTGAAAAAAAAAATCATTAAATCATTCAGAGTTTAACCACTTGCAGAGTCAGAAAATCCCTTTTATCTCCCTCTGGTCTCATTCCAACCTAAGTTCTACACACTTCACAGGTGATTGGCACACGGATACAGGACCGAGTTCTCAGAAAAATCTGAGTCCTGGAATCCTCCTTAGAAATATCCAAGTTAGTGGAAAACGAAGTTTCCAGGTCCATTTGACTCATCTCGTCAGCTTTCCCTGCATTTTGAGATGCTGGCAGCTGGGTCCATGGTGAGGTCACGTTTATGATCCGCTTAGCAAATATTTAAGATCGCTCCCAGCCCTGACTCCAGAGCGGTGCGCCTCCAGCCCGCGGGACCCCCAGAGGGCCTCTCAGAGGAAGTGCCTCTGCCCAAAACCGGATGAACGTGCCCGCTCCCCAACCTCCCCCAAGGACAGCAGGGGCCCTCGGAGTGCTGGGCGCAGGGAGGTGAGACTCGTTGCAGTTGCCCCCGTGGGGGCTGCCAGCAGCTGGGCCACAGAAGTGGGGACTGGAGGAGAAGCAGGGGCAAGTAACAGGTTTGTTTTCCATGGGGGATGGGGAACGCCTCTGCGCTCCTGGGCTCCATCTTCTTGCAACAGCTTCATCTCCCCCCTCCCCGGATTCTCCGTGACAGTTTGTGGCTCGTCCCTGTGATGCTCTTTGGATGGTTAGCACCTCCTCCCCGTCTGGTTGGTTTATGGACCCTCGGGCAGGGCTGTGTACCATGCAGGTGGGCCCCTGGATCATTTCAGGAGTTTTCTTGAAACTAGGTAGGAGTGGTGCAGGCGCTCCAAGATGCAAGCAAATCAGCAGCTCGGTGAGATTTCCTCAGGAATTCGAGCCACATCATGGTCCAGCCCAGAAGTAGACCGCCCTGCACCAGCGCTTCCTTCAGGCCTCAGGGTTGCCCAGGTACGCTGAGGATGAATCCGTCAGCTAACACCCCTGCCTAGGGACAGGCAGCCCTTTGGGCCCCCAGCTAGCCAAAAAAAAAAAAAAAAAAAAAAGTGCAGTGAAATTTCAAACAAAGGTAACAAAAAGCAAAGTGGAATTGATACAGCCACTCTTTATGCCCTTATGATGCCAACATTATACAAAACAGAACTTCTGATAACGTAAACTGCAGGCTAGAGCCGAATGTGAGACAAATGATCCCCCCACTTCCCAGCCCTTTCCCTCCTCTCATTAAGGCAGCTTTGCTGGGCACCTGGGCAAGCGCTAGAACAGAACTTTACTCCACTCCTCTCCCCCTGCGCTGTGCTCAGGGCAGACATCCTTCTTCAGCTGCAGCGCTGCCGTCTCACTAGGTCTGGTCAGTTGCCTCAGATGTGCCCAACACGCAGTATGACAGCCACACGCACCTCGCTGGGACCGACCCCTAAAAGGAAGCTTTTTTCCCTCTGAGTGAGAGAAGTCATCATTTAAAAACGAACAAACAAAAAACTGAAATGTAGCATTTCAGGGTAAAAAGCATAGTACCTGGCCAAAGACCCCTGGCGGAGAAAATACCGTCCTGGGCAGCAGGAAAACTGAGGCATGGTGCTGTGATGGAGCGCTGTGAATCTGGATGAGGGATTTCACTGCCTAACCTCGCCCTTCTTCACCCTCAACTAAGATGGTTGGACAGAGTAGGACCTCCTGGAATCCTCCAGGTCTATCACTATGATTCTTGGGAATTGGGAAAATAAATAAATATATATATATATATATATATATATATATATATATATATATATATATACACACACACACACATAATTTTCTAATCATAAAAGTAACACGGACTTATTTTAGACAATATAGCAAGCTAGGCTCTTATGATGAAGTCTTATCATCACTCAGAGGCACACATTCTGGAGTATTTCCTCCAAATCTTGTTGCTGTGAATTTTAAAAACATGACTGTAACCATAGGCATATTGACTGATTAGGGCTCCTCGGTTGTAGGTAAGAGGCACCAACTCCAGCTGGCCTAACCCAAAACACAAAACTTAATTATTAAGGTGATGCAACCCACAGCTGAAACCCAGCAGGCCCAGGCAGGCTGTGGGACCAGGTCCCTCTTGCTTTGCACACATGCCTTCTTCTCTCACTCATCCAGATTTTTCCTTCTCTGGCCCAGAAGCCAGAATATGGCCACCCTGCAAATTCCACATCCACGTGTTACCACAACAGTTCCAAATTCCAGACAGAAATGTTCTGACTGGCCTTGCTTTGCTCAGGGTCTTCTCCCTGGTCCTGTCAACTCTGGCCAGGCAGATGGGGGTCACATGGGACTTTTTCATTTGTTCCGTGGATATTTTGTTGAGTGAGGACTATACATCAGATACTATTCTTGGTCCTGGGGACACAGAAATAAACACAATAGACTGAAAAATGTTAGACAAGAAAGTAAAATAATTGCTGATAGGATAATCTTTATGAATAAAACAAAACAGAATGAGTTGTTGGTGGGGGAAGGGAGGGCGTATTTTAGGTGGGTGTTTGGAAAGTGTCTGAGGGGTAGCATTTGAATTAAAACCTGGCCCATATACACATGGCTGCCTGGGACTCTTCCCTGAGAATTGGGTGGGCGATAAGGAATTCCCAGGAGAGAAGGGCTTGTTGGGGGGGAGGGGTTATCCCCCAGAAATAGCTACCTCAAGTGGCATAAGCAGAATTGTATAAATTAATATTTCAAGCTTCTTTTTGCCAAGTATAAACGTAACAACTTTTTTTAAAAAAAAGACACAAACTAGAAAATGTAAGAGTATAGAGATAAGAATCTTCCACCCAAACCACTAATGAACAGTTTGGTATATTTTCTTACATTTGTTTTTCTCCACCTGTTCCGTACTTTTTGCTCAGGGTGATAATCAGCCCCAAAACACCCCGGGCCATAGATGAAAGGGGCTTGGTAACAGATGATAACTGTCCCTGGGTTATTTATTAGCCTTAATCAATTAAAAAAAAAAACAAACAAAAAGAGAGGCCAATGACTCCGGAAACACGCGTTTCACAGATGCAGGAAATCAAGTTCCTTGGCAACTCTCTCTACCTTTGCAGAGGAGAAAGTTAGGGTTTTTGTTCCCCCATTCTTCTGCTGCAGTGTCCCAGCTTCATAAATAGTTTAGCCATTTTTAGTAAGTCCTGAAATAGAGCAACATCCATTGTTGTTCTGGGGAGTCATCCAACCTGGCAGGAGAC